GAGGAACGCAGGCTTTGTAGAAGAGGAGCAGGTACGAGTGGTGGCGTAGAGCTGAGAATGAGCTGTTGTGTGGGAGAGACAAGATACGACAGTGAAGGATCCTCACATTTCCTCTCCACGTAGGAGGGCCGAAGTGGCAGCCTGTGAGTTGGTCAGTAGCTGTTCCCAGTGGGGTGAGAAGCGGCTTCCCCTTCGTATTCAACAGGACGCAGCTGTGCGTAGTCGCCTTCTGGTGCTGCACAGGATTTGGACACGTTTACTGGGTTCAGTAGTTATGGCCTGGACGTGCAGCGGCAGCATCAGTGAAGGAAACATCCTCTAACTGAAGGAGAGAGTGTTCTTAGGCTTCACCACATCTGTAAACAACATTCTTGTGTCAATAGCTTTCACAGCCACCTGGAGAGACACGCAAATGGTTCAGTGGCCGTAAACCGCCTGACATGTTGAGTTCCTGGCCTTGATTGTTGAGGAAATATCCTTAGGCTTTCCTTTTATTCCTTCTTATGTGTCCCCAGTTGGTATCCCCCAAAGGATATTAAACTGAATACACCAAATATCTAAAGATTTCATATGGTCATTTTTCTATATAAAGTATAGTACTATAAAGTATCAAGCACTTTATATATATCTATACACATTGTCCAGTGTATAATCTTTGTAGGGTTACATTACTGTTGGTTTATTACAGTGTATAGAGCCTTTAGTCTTGGACAGAGGGGCCCCCCTGTATAGTAAGAGCAACACAGAATGATATAAATGGGTCACAGCATGGTCCCTAACTCAAAGAATGAATCATTCAGTTACGGGATAGAGATGCCAGTGGGTTAAAAATAGGCAGGAAAGTGCAAAAAGCTTTTTATCTGCCTCACAGTCAATAGCTAAAGGCAATAAGCCTACAGTAATAGCTGTAAGCAGTAGGACTACTTGCCTGTCCACTTGATCATTATCTTTGCAGTCTTTAATTAGAAGAATTGTGTGCAGAGCTTTGAAAGGATGATATGTGAGCTACTGTTACCGGTATTTGGGGCTGTTCTATGAGGACGAGTAAAAGGAGGAAACAGGAAGATCATTTTGCTTTGCTGGTTTAGAATCTCGGTAATCTGCAAGGCGTCACCTCCAAGATTATTGCTGTGTTCTGCCAGAAAGGAGGTGAATTAACACAGTGGGCATCTTGTTCACTATTGCACATTTACAACTGCAAGGAACATGCAAAGTTTGAATTTTGGGGGGAAATGACCCCCACCTGTTAACAGCATAAGAGGGTTGGTTTCCTGTAGTCACTGAGTGAAGAAAGCTGCTGGCATAGCAGTCACCTTTATATGATCTACTGACTTGCTAGAAATTGTTTACCCTGGGTTGTCTAATCTCTTAGCCAGAGGAAATTAGGAGGGGGTGGGGGGGGAAAAGCCAGTGATGTAATTAATGCAGCTGCAAGAGTGTATCCGCATAGCTGAGCTAGTCCCACAGTAGCGAACGTGGCCACCTGCATTGCGATTCCTCCAGAAGCAGGCAGGAGCTGGTGCACCGAGCGGCAGGGTTTGCAGCTGCCTGTCTGTGTGTTGCAGGTGAAGGGGTTTCTGTTCTCAGGGGCGACGAAGTTTGGCCTGTGAATTTTTTATGGACTGTGACTTGTTCCCTGCTGATAATATATTAGTATTAGGGGTGTAGCTAGGTGACATGTATGCTTCTGAATCGAGCCTGTTTCTCCCTCTGCTTTGTATGTGCGGCGTCTTAAATACATCGCAGCTTTACCTAATTTTGATTTATTGTCTCCCGTCGTGGGGGGAATGCTTCATACCCTTTTGCTCTTTTGCTTTTTCAGGGTTTTGGCTTTCTGGGTTGGGTTTAATCTCCAAGAAGTCTGTCTGTGCTGTAGACGGCGAAGCTAGTAATACAAAACAGTCAAGCCAAATCCCTCTAGACACTGCTATCATGAGACATTTTTGCATGTTTTAAGACCCTCCCTGCTAACTATAGAGCAGATGGGGGCAAAATATAATTTGATAATAAATTCTTGTGGCCACACATACAACTTTGCTGACACATACAAACAGATTTTTCCCTTTTTTGACAGCATGAATGGTGCCTGACATTTCAGGGCTATCAGGGCTTCCTTGTCTCTTTAGTTACTTTGTTTTTTAGGATGGCATCTATTTCTGCATCTGTCTGCTCTTTATATTACTTTCCTGTCTCAAATAAGCATCTCAATAAGGCTGTTAGCATTCTTTTTCCAGTTGGTTATATTTGTTTTCCTTTGCTTCTGGGAATCCTTTACACTGATTTCTAGTTATGTTGCAGTGTGATTTTACTGTTAAATGGGCATTGAAAGAGAATTCCTTCCTGTCCTGGGAACAGTTCCCAATCCACCAATGATACAATGGCTCATTGTTCTTTCCCAATAATAATTGGGCGTATTTTGCATTAACAGGGGTTCAAAAGTTTATAAAGCAACTTTTTGGGCCTCTTTTTTTTGCTGTGAAAGTTTATGCCTAACCCATATAAATATCTGATAAGTTTTCAATGTTAATATTTTTAAATTAAAATACTAGCTTACTTACATATGCAGTCTTAGTTACCTTTCATATCTGCCAGTTAAGTAGAAAATCCTAGACTTTTTGCTCAGGCTCCCTAGTAAGTAATTTGAACGTGCATTCCCCGCCCCTCATTGGTGCCGTTAACCAGAAAGATTTGCAGGCTTGTCCTTTATTCTGAACTCAGGATAACCGCAGGTACTCCTAGTGCAGTGCAATATTGGGAAAATCCTATTCCAGCGTGGGATTGTAGCTGATTTACTCATTTGCTCGGTGACAAAGATTCAACGAAAAAAGTCTGGTTGTGAAAATTCTTCTTTCCTTTTTGCCCTCCAATCTGATGAAAATAATTCATATGTAATAAGTCTGACTAGGAGAGGACTGTTTTGTTCTGTAAATTGATAGATTTTTCATAGGTAGGGCATACATTCAAATAGGACCTGAAAGTCATCACCATCCATTGGTTCCTGAGAAACTGCATTATGTTTCCTGCCCACTTTTTAACAGAAAAATGCGTGTCTCACACTATCTGCTGTCATGTTCAGCACCTGCAAATGAGTAATAATGGATGGGACATGTAAGCCACATGTTATTGATGAGATCTGTTTTTTTTAGTATTGATATGAGTTAGCAAGGCTGTTCAGAGAGCCTTGTCTTGAGTTTGAGCTCGGCGGTGCCTCTTCTATGAAAGAAAAAAGATAATCCTACTTCCTTCAGAAGCTCTAGTTCACTCTCATTTTAATTTTTTTCTTTAATGAGGGGATGTATATTCTGCATATGCAAGAATATTAGCTTTTCCACTTTCCTCAAACAGAAGAATAAAGGTTTATATGTCTACCTTTTTCTTAAATTGTGTAGCTGGATCTATGTTAATATTTTTTCTGTATTTTCTGTAGCTGACAGCTTTATTTTCTTGGAGTTTGTCCTAGCATACCATATAGTCAAGCCTGTTATCTTTCTCCTTGTAACAATGTAGTCCTAAAGCAATGGGAGTTCATTTTACTGTAGAAAAAACAATTATGTTGTTTGTTGAGGTATTTTACTAATATATGTTCTTCATTACTTGCTGCATTTTCATCAAGGTGCATGGCTATACAATAATCCTTTCTCGTCGTCTTTTTTTTTTTTAATTCATTTAGGCTTTTTGTTACTGCACCCACCTAATAGAAGCAGAGTTCATTGCAGAGGTTCTGGTTTTAAAAGCCAAGGAGCTCTTCTAGCCACTTCTTTCTGAGACCTGGTTTTAAATTAAATTATGCTGACCAAACCCTTATCTCACTTGAATAAAAATGGACTGCTGTCTTTGATGCAAGTTTCTAGAGGAGTTTGAGACTTTGCAAGGCTTAAATAGTGTAATCAGCAAAGAAGGCTTATAATGTCAAGAGTATCAGCTGAAAAGAAAAACTGATTCTCCAGAAAATGTTTATATGATTCTACTTGATCTGAGGATGCTATACCAGATAACGTAGTCTTTGATTCCTTTACTCATTGATCTGTATTTAAGCATGTATTCATGCACATGCTGTAAACTCATCAGTCCTTCACAACCTGAAGGAAAATACGCAAATAGAAGGATTTGATGATACTTTAAAGTGTTTGAGCACTCGATTAAAGGACAAGCAAGACAGAAGCCTAATTTCTTCTGATTCTGTTCTTTTGATTGAAGTAATAAAATACATAATATTATTTCTTCTCCTTTGTTCACATTTCTTTCCTGAGCTTATAGCTTGTCCTTTTTAAAGCTACGATATGGTTGGTTTTTTCCTATTGTCATTCTACTCTTAAGAGGGATGTAGAAGTGACTCACTTTCTGCATAATGCTGCCTTTAATTGATGACTCATCTGCTCATCCCACCATTAGTGGTCTCTTATGCGCTGAGGTTGATCAGTAGGTGTTCCACGTAGCCTCCTATTTAGACACAGACTGTCACAGTGCCGTTCTTCAGGCATAAATGTGCCTGGCCTATTTGGCAACAGCTTCCTGATGTTTTCCCCATTCAATCGTTATGACAGAAAAGGAACCACCCACTGATAGATCCCAAAGGAAAAGCAGTGCATCTTTACAGACGGAATATTCAAAAGCTTCTGGAAGCCTTTCACTCCTGAACAGGGATGGTACCTCTCTCACTCGAGTCTTTGACATGTGAATCTTCTTAACATGAGAAAAAGGAAAGTTTCTATGATTATGTTAAAACCAAAAAGGCCTTTGTATATCAAACCTGTCATCAACTAAGCGTTATCTCCGATTTGAGTCTTATCCCATCCTTTTCAGCTCTGCTATTCAGAGCCTTTGTCATCGAGTCTAAACACGACATTGAGCATTGAGTCAGCATTCAGAAATACCCATCCTCATCTAGCTCACAGAGGCTCTTGTGCTCTGCATTGCTAGTTCACACCGTATTTGGGTTAAAATTACGTTGTTTTTAACATATTTAACAGTAACTGGAAGTGTTGCTTGTTTCTGTTTAGATGAGAGTCCTTACACAAAGTCTGCAAACCAGGCAAAGCCACCTGATGGAGCACTGTCTGTGAGGAGACAGAGTATTCCAGGTAAGACTTGCTTTGCTTTTTATAACACCTAACTTATTTGTGAACAGCAAGGTAATGCTAATCAAAATTCAACTAGTTATAAAAAGCAAATGAATTACAGTTACTACTAAGCAACTTTATAAGGAAGGTTCCATGGGAGCTGCAAGGAGTTCCCACAGTTAGGTTACCATGGGCTTTTGCTGTGAAGAACATCCCTGTGTCTCTGTCTTTTGCAGCGGATTTCCGACATTGATCATGACAGCCTTTTCAACAGAGGCTCACGTATTTTCAGGCCCCATGAAATCTGTTCTTTGATACCTGGTTTCGATGGTATAGGGAGATTGGCCCATATATTCCACTGCTGATTGGACAGGCTCAGAAATCTAACAGAGCAACACTCTGTCAGAGTTCTCATCTTCACGTATGCCATCCTTGTCTTTTCTGTCATCCTATTGCACAAAGCTGGACCACTAGATCAATGGTTAAAATATGTGATCTTCAAACCTGTGTCTCTTTTAATTACTTTCAACAAGTCTGCCCGTGAAAAGCAAGTTTTGTATGTATTATGCAGCAATCTAAAGGGATTTTCATCTCAAGTAAAATTTGAGAGATTTTTTAATGAAAACAAATGAACAGTGACAAAGGTTGTGTACAGGCAGAGTAACTGATGTTGCCAGTCTCACCTCAAGCACAGTAACCTCTGACTCGAAGGGAAGATCTGTTGCAATAGAAATCAGAAACTGTAAGGTCATGTCACCCACCTTCTAATGACTAATGTTAATATTCTCTGCACTCCATGGTCGTCTTATTGAACAAAGTCACTCAACCCACAGGGGGGTTATGGATACAGGGGATGGAGCTCACTGCCAGGCTCAGATCTCATCCCAATAACTGTAGTGTTTCGGAAGGGCCAAAGTATGTGTTCTGTGGATGCTTTGTGTGTGCGTTTGTATGTGTGAGAGAGAGATGGATGATTTACTGTTGCTCATAATAAACATTTTTGTCTGTTGAAAACATCCTAGTGGTTTAAAGATTGTTATTTTTATGGTAAACTCATGAAGATCATAACCATTGTGAAATGACATGACTACAGTCTCCAGTGTACAGTTATTGTTATGAGAAACTTCTTAATTATACAAACACCAACCAGATTTTTTTTCTCCAAGTCAATACAAATCAAGATTCATTGTTCTTCAGAGTGAATTAAGGCCTCTATATGGGTACCTCTTCAGGTAATGCTTTAGCCCATAGGTCACTAATATTTAACATACTAAGTATCTACTTTTTTTTTTTTTAATCTTTTGAATTTTTTCATTGTGAACTTAGTAATTGTCATTTATGGTGTGGTTACTGTATTTATAAAACACTTATGCTAACGTCCGAATACAGACTGAAGTTCATGGTTTCATGTGACATTTTGAGAACTCCTGATGATTTTCGGTTGTGTTCTTTAAAGAGAAGGTTTGATGAAAGTTGAAGCGGTGCAATTTTTCTTTAGAGCATTTGACAAGATTAGGAATTTCAAGTGTTGAATAGTCATCATGATCAATGACCATGTATTTTGAATTTTTTTAAAAGTTGCTGTATATTCTGGAGTTTTTGGAGCATTGCAGATAAATCTTTCCTGTGAGCTGTGCACGAGTCACAGTTTGTTCAGAGAAATAATACTGACAAGTGTTGGGTGAGATGTACTCTGTTTCATTTCAGGTGTTCTGAAAAAACTGATCTAAGCTTATGTATGTTCTTCAGCTTTTAATACAGTGGAGACATTTATCTTAATGTATTCTTGTGTCTCTTGACTGTAGAAGTCCCAAAGGATAAATGAGATTGAGCTGGTTGGATATTAAAAAAATAATAATTAAAACTTCTTCATGCCCTGACAAGTTCACATTCTAGCACAGTGGATGTTGTGGGTTTAGATACATAAATATCTAAAAAAATATCCTTTGTAAAACTAAGGACTGTTTTGGGAAGTAAATTGAACATTTAGGAGTTGACTGAGGTTTCTGAAAATAACCCATAAACGTTTCTGTCACTTGGACACTGAGAAAATTTGACCCCACATTTCATATGTAAGCTAGCACCTTTTGAATAGCATCTATTCTTGCTTGTCAGTGGGCAGTTTATCCATATTATGGATTAGTCTTGACAGAGATGCAGACGCATCCCAGCTAGCCAGCTTGGCTTGGCAGTAAGAGGAGTACTAGTAGTATTAACTAGTAGCATTACTAGTTTGAGACCAGAAGTAGTACAGCTGCTTTTGCTTGGGGGCAGGATCTGGCTTCTGACAGTATGTATGTCAGCTCTGAATAGCTTTTGAATTGGAAGGTATGATGCAATGAACCTGCTAAATTCTTCTAGACCTGGATGGAGACATGTCAGCTGGAGTTACTGTCAGTAATCCTTACATGCAGAGCATACACTGTGTGGAAAGCATTCATTTCTATTCCCCCGAGATGGTATGCCTGATAAAACATCACATTGCTGAAGTGCTGTTTTTTCAGGCTTGAAGCACAGCAGTGCCTTTGACAGTATAGCTGTCTAATCCACTGACGCTCTGTCATTCCTGAGACACAGACGGCAGATGTCCTATTCCCAAGGAATGCTCTGGCCATTGAATCAGCCAAGAGAAAACTTTTGGGTTTTAGCAAGGTAAATGATCTTATACTGAGCTTTGCACAGGTTTGAACAGTCTGTGGAAAAAATACTAGTGAAAATATATATCCGGGATGCATGATGTAAATCTTTCAGCGCAGTGTGGGATTGTGTCATCTCCCTGTGCCTGGTGAAAGTTCCTTCTCGTGACATTTGAATTCACTTTAAAGGATTCCAGTGCTCCTTCCTTTGGCCAAATATCAAAAAGAGGAGCTTTTGTTGCTGTGAGACCTGAAACTACTATACCAACTGTAAACCCCAAGAGGTTGGTTTTATCCTTCCATGTGAAACTGTATTGAAAGTGCAGTATTGATGAGCAAAGACTGAATACACAGAGAAGTAATATAATTCTGTAGAGGTTACATGGAACTCAGGCTTGGTTTATTTTACAGGAAAAAAATGTTGAAATAATCATTTTATAATTAAAGTGAAATGAGCACGTACTGTGAAATCAGTGCACTGAGTTTAATTCCTTTCATCCCCAGAAGCAGGGAATGGATTAAGCATCTCTCTGGAGCAGAACTTGCTTGCTTAAGATGCAGAATGCATTATTCATGTGATGAGACTACATGTCATATTCATCATGTCTTCACATGGCGCAAAATCAACAAGCAACAGAACCTTTCAAAGGGATTTGCAGAATTGCTGAAATTATAGTTAATTCAAATTATATGCATTAATATAATTGCAGTTTGAAACTTGGACTTAATTTTGCAGATGCATAGGTGTTTAGTTTGAAACATGATTGTTTGAAACATTATTTAGCTTTGCAGTCAGAATTTCTTAACATGAAACTGAGGCTTGAGGTAACGCCAGCACGATAAGCAGCCTGCAAAGTAAGAAACAGATTTTCTCCTCTAAACCTTTAAATTTAGATTGTCAACCAGTATATAATGAAACCTTATTGCTACTCTGCCCATGTAGTAGGTTACAGAAGTCAAGGGGGTGTGTACAGTGCCTCAATCAGGAAACTATCACTGTCGGACTAGTACTTAGGCACATAGCACATAAATGAAAGCAACATGTTTCAAAATTCATGGGTAAGACCCTTCCCTCAGAATCACAGATGCGGTTAAAAACGTCTGTCATTTAAAAAGGAAGTATTTGATACTCACTTATTAGCTAACCTCTTGAATCCCTAGGTTTAGATGGTCGTAGTTCCCATTGAGTTCCTGGGCTGAGGTTTCCTGCTGGCTTGCCGAGGGTCCAAAGCAGTGCCTAACCAGGGGGAAGCATTAGGTCAATAGTACTTGAGTCAAAGGTTCCTGTGGTTGCTTATTCCTGTGGGAGCTTTAAAAAGGGCATCAAATATTCCAACAGTACTGATACAATGTCAAGAGCTGATGATGCTGATAAAGAGGCAGTTTGAAATCAAGGAGACTTTAACATATGCTTAAAGATAAGCATGTTCTCAGTGCTGTCCTAAATATAGATAGGCTGAATAGCTGCTCCCATGCTTTCCAGACTAAAAGTCAATGCCCTCTTATCTAACAACATGGAGAAATCTGTCAATGCTAATGCTGTGCAAATTGTTCACTTCATTTATTTATTTGTCTATTTTCAATTCATTCACTGAAAACTGGGGGGATGGAGGGGAAAGAAATGACCTGACACAAGCCTAAAAATAATTCCTCCATGAAACAAAAAAAAGACACCATAAATTTGAGGCTGATTAAAATATTTCATAAAATCTGCAACAAAAGTTTCATTTTATTTTTAGTCCAATTCTGTACGAGCTTTTTATTGAGTCTCAAAAGTTACTATTATTAAAAAAAACTTTTTAAAATAAATAGTCAAAAACCCCACAGTTTTTAAAGAGCTGAAATGTTTCAGCTTCCTGATGTTTTATTTTTGTTGACTGAAATCATTAGTAAGTTTCAGTCAAATTCTGCAAATAGTTTTGGTTGGGTTGAAAGTCTATTTTTTTTAGGGAAAAGCTAATATGTACCAAATCTATTTGACATTAAATTTTAAAAATCCATACTTTTTACTTCTTGCATCTGCTGACTCAGACATCTGCACTATGGGAGACTTCTAGAAATGTGAAGTTTTGTGCCTGAAGTGGTCAAGGGCTTAAGACAACTATAATGCAAACTGTAGTCTGGGACAGCTATTTGAATCATCTGTGAATTCAGAGATTTAGTTTAGTTAGGAGGATTGCAGTCATGTAGCTGTCTCTCTCCTAAGTAAATTCTTGTTCAAAGAACCAGCACCGAATAACGAGGAGACATAGTGGGAGTATTTCCTCAAACAGAGGAAATTTCCTTTTCTCTGGGAGAGAAGAATGACACAGCTGCCTGCCTTCTGCCCTTCTCAACGCACCTAGGAAAAGGTCCTTGAAGTCTTGTCCCTCATCATGTTGTCTT